TGGCCTGCCAATCACCCTTATCGATGGGAGGGTTCCCGTAACCTCTACTGCCTCAACTGAACAACGAATTGACGCTGTCGTACCGCAACCCCCGTGGATCCTAGATCTGATGAAGCTACTACCGATAAGGAAGGTACTGAACTCGATACAGGTAGACCTCTCCTCGTTATCAGAATCATCAAGGACGGATATGGAACACCCTGTTAGAAACCGGTATCCAGTCGTTGAAAGACTGCTCGCTCTTGGGTCCCTTTTGCTGCTGGAGTCTATTACAATCCCTCCAGGGATAAGACCCGGAACGGTCGGCTACAAGTTGAATTAAAGCATCGTCCCCCTTCGCCTGAGGCTTGAGAACAGCAAGCCCCGGTCTGCTCAAACAGCCAACCCCCGTAGTACCATTTAACCCATCGTGGGGACTTCGTGCTGCCTCTTGGGCCGACGTTTCCAGTTACGTTATCTTGCAATTCATGACACCAGTCCGCTAGCACTTCGGATACGTGAGAACGCTACTCTCTAACGGCCACCGTGATAATTCCGACATGGCCGCCTTGCGAGACGTGAGGCGGAACGGTCTTGTTGTCGTCTTGAAATAGTTAGCGTTGAACTTTTGCACAGGCTAGAATAGACAGTTATAGAAAAGTGGGTCTAGGTAATAGCAGCGACTAAGGTATGGCAAATGAAAGAATCGACCTGAGGGAGTTCACCTGTAGAAGGGAATCCCATCTTTTGCTGCTTCGGCCAGACCAGTGTGTGTGTATCGATTAGGATTGAGCAAAATGTAATTCATTTAATAATTCACAATTAATGATCAGTAATTAAATTCTCCAACTACTACGCACGATTAATTTTCACAATTACGATTTACCAATTCTTTTAATTGGAAATTTAACGTTTATAGCAATTACGAGGGATTCGTTTGTTAATTATTTCGACAATTGGTTGTTACATTTTTTAAATGTGAGAATCATTTGCTTATAGTATATAATTACAGTTGTCTCGCAATTAAAATTGATACTTAAATAATTAAAAACAATTGCAATTGAATTCCATTACAATTTCAGGTAAATTACAATTGGCGATTGAATTTTTACTTAATAAGTTTGTTGATAACCTTCAATTCCAATAGAACATCATTGCAATGGAAAAGTTAATTATCAATTGCAATCAACCTTCAACTTCAATGGAATTAAGTGCAATTCAATTTTAAATTGTTCAATTAATTGAAAATGTGATTGATTAATTCCTAACGCTCGCGTCAATTAATTACGACCAAACAATTTACGAAAAAAATCGACAAAATTTAAATTTTTTAGGAACAATTTCAAGTACGTGTAATTTAATGATTCAGACAAAAAATATCCCGAAAAGCGGAAATAACTAGCTGTCATATAGTACGACGCCCTTAAGTTCCCAACAAATGCGTGGCATAAAGTCGCCCATTAGTTTCCCCCGATCAAGGGGTCCTCCCCAGAGAAGGTTTTAGTTCAGCCCATAATGCCCGAAAGAAGTAATTAAACCGCGGATAATTAACAACTGCAGCTCGCCTCTCCTGAAAGCGTGCGATCGATTTTCAAACTCCGCGCGCGTCCCGACAACGGATATTCGAGTCACGGCGCAAGCCCCCCTCCCAGACAGAGAAAACAGAGTAACCTGGAAGAAGGGGGTGGCAGTTTCGGTTAATTGGATAGCAATTAGACGAATCCCTCAGCATTGTCTGCACGGGTGAATTACACAGAATTCTCAGCTTCCAAGTTCCTCCCGAACCATGATCCAGCCGGATCGAAATTTCTATCCGCGAATACGAATGACGGATGAGAAGTAGGGACGGGGGAAGATCTTTCCTCGACCTTGCGAAAAGGGTATCCATTCCCATGTCTTATCGTTTTGCCATCCTCTGGCCCTGGCTTTCAACTGTCCTCGAGAGGATCTACGCTTTAGGAGTTCCTTTTTGCGCGTTCCATTTCGAGGATTGCGTACTTCCGGCGAATCGATGCTTATACATCCCTTCGTCTTTGCATTTGCGAAATTGTTCCAGAATCGCGCGTTCCCCGTCGCCTGCCGTCTTTGCTCGTTCGTCGTTGGAAATTCATGGGACCCGCAACTTTCAACAGCCTGAGCGATGGGACGCGATTCAATTTATTAGGGTGTGCTTGGAAAATATCGCGCGTTTCGAGCCTTTAGTTTGTTAAGCGATGGCTACGATGTATGATCGCGGCCACAGTGATCTATGGGCTTCTAGCATTGTACTGAAAGCAATTGTAATCCTCGTGTGCTCCTGGCAAACACTGTCTTCCTGGGTTAAGAGTGGTTGGGGAAAATCTGCAGCGATCCCATCGGACACAATCTCGTGCTTAGTTTCATGTCATCTTCTCGTACAAGAGTCAGCTTCCATTTGTGAAAGTTCATTTATCTATCGGTCGAATCTTTGTCTTCTGTAGACAAGTTGCAAGGGATTGCAAGTTAATTAGATTTATTTACTTTGATATTTCAGATTGACGACGCTGCCAAGCATCATCAATATTGTTATTGGTTGTCAGACACATCGTCTACACGTCGTCTTGTGAAAGAACTAAAATTATTTGATAAAACGTCGATATATTAGCATGTGACCTGAAGGTTACACGGACCCATAGAAAGTTAAGATAGGCTCACTAGAAAAGTTTTACTAATAAGTCATTTGTCTGATTTAGGATGAAATGACATAACATTTGGAATATAATTTTTCTCATGTGATCATTTTTTAACTCACTTAGTGCTATAACACGTAATACTATCCAAAGAAACTGGTTGTAAACTTTGCTGATAGAGTACACTATTTTATCGACTCATATCGGTGGAGTACACCCTATTGCCGACATACCGACATAGTTTCTACCTTATCGAGCAGGTACTCTACCTTTCCTGCTGGACTTTCGAATTTTCCATTGGAATTATAATCCGTGTTGAAAAGAAAATGTGATCCATACAAGAGTCACGTTATTTCCGTCGCAGTACACGAAAGAAAATTCTTGGATCGCGCTAAAAAGAAAAAGCCGTTCCGAGCGAGGAATTCCAGAACGGAGTTCGACTGCCTGACATGCAAACTGAGTCGCTCGAGTAAGACGTGAGCCTATAAAGCGCGCAATTTGCATCCTCGACGAGTCTGAACACCGTCGCGTCTAGTTACAATGCGGTCGACGCACCTAAGAATCCGATCGGCTGTCGAGAGAGCACCGAGACGCCCAAAGAAGTTCACGGGCGTCGTCGTCGTTCTAGTCGGCTCCTCGCTCCGAAACGAACGCCACGAATCGAGTGAAAGAGCTTGCGATTAGCTCGACGTGAACTCGTCTGCTAAAATTTCATCGTTTCTCTCGGTTAATGAATACTGACAACCGATGAGTTGGACTTCGTCGATTAGTACGCTGTTTAGTTTAAAGAGTAAAGGTATGGCAGACAGTCCATAATTATAACTGGTGGTGAAAGTGGTGACTGCGACGTTTCCCAATGCTTTACCATTGTGATATGGGTTGGGCCACCATCGTGGCAGTAGCAGGTCCAATTTAGATCAAACTTGTAAACAAGAGAGGTCAACTACTTAGTAATAATAGAAATTTAAACAGAAATAACTAAAGAAAAATGTCACATTGGATAACACTTTGTGTTTACTGTATGTAAAAAATTAATTTGAGTAGTTGCTCTATGGAGATCGACGATTTTTTTATGATCTACTATATAATAGCGTAGTTGAGTAATTTTTGCTTAATCTCAGATATTAGAAAAATGACTCAAATATCTAAAAGAGCACAACTTGCAATGCTTCCTAGACTAATTTTTCTTTCTAGTAGTAATATCCTATTTAGCCGCACGAATTATGGGTATTCTACATCGATAATAACGTGATCTGTTTTACTGATCGACTGGACTACGTTACCGACAGAATAACTTGACTTACCAACCGAGTGTTCTGCATTAGCGACTTTTATCAACAGAGTGTGCTATTTAATGACTCATATCGGTAGAGTATACCCTATTGCTGACAAAGTCTCTACCTTATCGATCATCTACTTCCTCTTCTCTGTTAAATCGAGATTGTACTGTACTTTGAAAATTTGTGTTGCCTATTTGGTACCTTAGAATCTGTATTTTCCGTCACAATTAAAAATTTAGAATGGGAAGAAGGAATCTAATGAAATTCGTGACCGGATGAAACCACTGTTGAAACAGAAGGCGTTCCTGCGCCGTCGAGCGTGTCAGATAAGCTTGATCATCTTCGCTTCAGCGAGAGAAGTTTCACTAAAACTGAGAAGATAAAATTCATAATTGCTGCAATTTCACCGTCCATAGTTGCGATAGTGGTGGATCGTCGAGCCGAATTTTCTAGAATGCATCGCCGATGGCGCCGTTCTTTCGACTCGCTTAACTTTTATCTTATGGCCAACTTCCGATCGTGTCATTTCCTACCTGAGTTTATTTTAATGACCATCTTGAACACCCCTTTGTTGCACAAAATGTGGGTCACTGAGATTGACTATTGCGCGGTATGCTCGGTTGGGAACCCAACACGAACAATCACTCTAAAATTTGTTATTGAAATTTTCCAAGATGTAGGCGTAAGTTTTTCATATGTATAAGGGCATCTAATAGCTCCGTAGAGTTACGTGTTGTATACATAACTCGTGTAGTAATTAATACGTGAATATATAAAGTGTGTAACAAAAGAAAAAAAAAACCCTTAATAATCTTTGTTAAGATTACTGATAAGAATAAATAAATTGTGAGAAGAAAAGTCCGGCTACTCGCTAAAACTAATTTTTGACGCATTCATTTGCCGCAAAAATGGTAAAAATAGAAGTATACCTGAGAGCTTGTGTTTGAAATGTGACGGAAATAGTGACAAATTAAAAAATGTAAAACCAAGAGGAAACGTACAAATTCTTTTGTTTTTTTTTCTGGTTTTCCGGGCTCTATTCGTTTGAACAAAAGGGAGGACTGTCTGAGAAATGCCTGTGCTTACATTTCAGGTGGCTTCACCTGCTATTTAACCTAGGAGTGCAGGTGGTCGTGGGACTTCCCTTGGAAATGGTTCACGGAAGTCTAAGGATCGCGGCGGTCTATATGGCTGGAGTTCTTGCTGGTGAGTAATAAATTTCTTGTAGATTCCTAAATTTCATTTACAGAAGTACAAGTACAGTGCACTTCACTTTTTAAGCCAACTTATAAATCCTTGAGACACTTATGTGAAAAGTGTAATACAAAGTTATAAAAATTCGATACGTTAACAAACATTTAATTTTTTTTTTCAATACTAAGAACGCTATTTAATTTGGTAAATAATTTTATTATCACTTAACTTCTCGAGAGATATTAACGCATATGTGTACGTTTGCTTTTATATTAAAATTATCATTACTTACGATCACGATGTCTTTTAAAATGAAAAAATAAATACCATCTGAAATTGAAGCAGCATATTTCTATGTTGAAATCGATTTACAGATAAACATTGCTTTGGTTTGTTTTTATTCGAGTAGAGCTAAATAAATGTATAAAACATTCGCGCCTGAAGAGGTTAAAGAAAATATAAATTTAATAAAATTATTAAACGTGGTGAATCATTTTGTCATAATTTAAATATAACAAAAATTTTCGCTTTGTTCGCTCAGTTTCTCAACTCATTCTGTACATGGGGCAAATTAATAGGTACAAAATTTCATTAAAATTCGCGTAAAATACAAATTTAATGTAGTAGTTATGTATATTAATCAATTTTAGGTAATTTAAATATAATACAAATTTTCTTTTGAAGAAGGGCTTGTCCCAGTTTGGAGACTTATTCTGTTAATTAGTTAATTAATTCGTCACATGAATTCTATTATAATTTAACCAGAATCAAAATTTAGGACAATTATTAAATTAATAGAATTGTCAGTACAGTAATCATTTGATTAAATTTGTATTTCTTTAAATGCTAATAAAATTATTCATTAAATTAAGTAGTGTTTTTAGTATTAAAAAGAAATTTAAATATTTTCCAAAGTATTGAATTTTCATAACCTTATCTTATACTTTTCATATAAAGTGCCTCAAGGCTGTATGAGCTGGTAGAATTTTGTGGTAGTTTAAATATTTCTAAAAATTCCCTTAGAGATGAGTTAAAACCTGTCCCAGTTTCTAGAATCGATCTTGATAACAGAACGAAGGAATCGACGTTGTGCATTCAGATTTAGCGACAGTTCTATCCAAGTGCGGTTTAATGGGAACGTTTGTAACGAGGCTCGTCGATAGCTCCACGCGTGATTATGCGCCGGCATGTAATACAGTAATACACGAATGCTCGCGACAATATTCGTAAATTTAAATCACTCGACGATTCTCACCCGCATAAATGCTCGCCGGCACAGCTGCAGCTACCAGACCACGACTCTATTTCTTCTCTGTAACACAATTTGTCCCTATTTCCATTTAACGTGTTTCGGGATTTTCCAGCATGGAACCGTGTTTTTACTCTCTCCACCCCATCCTCCATCCTCCCATCCCCCTCCTTCGGTGCCACCTCTTTTTCCCTTTCCCTCGGCCTTGTCGCTTTTCTCTTTCGTCCTTGATCGTCCTCGTTCCACCAGCTTCGACCATACGTAGGTAGAGGACTAGAGGTACAACGTTTTCGAGTGTATTCGTGTATACGGGGTGACCTGCATAATTTGCGATTACCTGTTATTCATCTGTCTATAGAGAAGGTTAATCTTTTGATATTAATCTTACAAATAACGTATATTTTTAGTCGAAACATGAAGAGCAAGTGTGCCAAGATAGGTCTTCATTGAACAAAAATGTTAAGAGTTACAGGGAAATCACAAACGCACAGAATTTTATTGTGGATATGTTTCTTTTGTTTTGTTTTTTTTTTTTACGTGTGGAAAATGCTGTACGCATAAAGGTCGATTCAGACTATACGACACGGACCGTCACGTTCCGGTAACGACACGTACCGGCACCGACACGACAAAACATCAAAACACGCGTTTTAATGGAACTATTCACACTATTCCAGTTGACGGAACGCGTGTTTTAATGTTTTGTCGTGTCGGTTCCGGTCCGTGTCATACAGTCTGAATCGACTTTAATCCGCGTCTTCTGGAAGAGAGGCGGAGTTATGTGGGACTAGACGGCCTGAAGGGCTGTACTCACTAAAAATCATACGATAACCCTACCCTAGGCTAATTGGAGGTGGCTGGGAACTCCTACGGAACACTACCAGCCACCTCCTGCCTTGACCCTGTGGGTTCCATGCCCGGGGAGAGAAACTCTCCCCGCTTGTGGATAGGTCTCTGCGATATCAATATGCAAATACCAATTAGTGCTTACTTTTAGTCGAAACATGAAGATCATATGTGCCAAGTTTCGTCTTCATTGAATAAAGGTTGTAGGAGTTATAGGAAAATCACAAGCAAACAGAAATAATATAAAATTTGATATCTGTTTGTTTGTAATTTCCTTAAGGCTCCTATAATTTGTGTCCAATCCAGATGAAATTTAATTCTCTTTCTCTTTATGCTTCAACGAAAAGTATAGACTACTCAATTTGTTATAATGTAGGCTATAATTATTATTATAAATTGATATAAAGACATATCGCCAGGATTGAACATATATCGTTCGTATAATCTGTTTTAACGTCTCACCCTGTATAGACGCGCATGTACGGTCGGTGTACTTGGTAGGATGGACCGAGTCGACGCGCGCACATTCGTGTAAACCTAATTGCCATTTGCATAAATTCGATTAGACGCAGATCCCGGGTTATTAGCAGTCATGAAAGTAAAACGTTGCAAAATAGTGCTCATGAATAATAAACTACTCGAGGGAGATTTTAGATATATCGAATGATATGCCGTAAATGCGTGGAATCGTAACGCGAGAGTGGATCGAGAATCACAAAAAAAGCAACGTATAGAGATATTTGTAATTTCCTTATTACATATTAATATGTTTCCTTGTGTACCAGTATATTTCCAAGCATTACAAATGGATAAGGTCTGGATACATATTTTTATTTATAACATGTTTATTTATAGGATTTTATAATATTTCCTTATAAACTAAATTTTTATAACGTGCCCCTCTTACAAACTACATTCTTATAACATTTCCTTATAAACCAGATTCTTTGTACAGCTGTTTGTTGTTCAGTCAGCAACCAATTACGTTTTTGTTGAGTAGCTTCGTGCGCGGACGACCTAATATTTAGTTTCCGAGATATTGGACCACATAAATTTTGTCCTGCTAGATCGCTGAAATATCACACTGTGTACCCGGTCGCAAGTTGCCTTCAAAGCAGAAGCGGCTTATAATATTAACAAAATTGTACGTGGCATCGTTTATTAGTGCAGCAGTCACGGCGACATGTATGTTGGCGATCGGCAATATAATAAAACATTTTGTTGAGATCTCGACGAGATTTTTGAAATAATCTTGATCTCGCCGAAATCCCGGTATGGTAAATCTCGATATCGATCTCGAATGTTACAAGTAATCTCGGCCTCGAAATCGAGACGAGGTCGAGATTCATCTCGTCTCGTGCGCATCACTATGTTAAATAGAATTAAAAGTACAATACCGTTCTTATAGTCATTTTTCTGACAAAATTAGACTTTCTTAAACTAAACGGAACATAGTAGTTTTGCCACAAGTAAACAATGGCCAGAAATGGAGCCTACTGCGTGTATCGAGTATTACCAACAACAATGGCGGATACCAAAGCGGACGGAGGCAGCATTCGAACACTACTGATATATTCCCTCCTGTTAACCCAAATTCCCTTACAAATTCATCGTGTAATAAATGTTTACATTTGCGACAACTATTAAAGTGAAACTCACAACCATAATTGGTAGCCTTTACATTTATTGGGTAATCTTCAGATCGAGATGAACGTAATAGTATGTAGTTATGAAAGCGCGCTCCCGAGGTTTAAATATTAACGAGAAGATTGCGGATACTGGCAACCAACAGTAAACATGCAAAAGTAATGTTTATAAAGCAGACAACTAAGTTCACCGTGAAAACTAAAATGCAAATCAGTCTCATCTTCCCGAAGTACTTTCGCGTTTCTTATTAAAGCATTCCTGCTCTACTCGTCTCGCACGAATACATTATTCCACTTACATTTAAAGGATTTAGTAAATTGCGAGTCCGACGTGTGCGTACCGATTCGTTCCCAAGCTATAATCGAACCTAACATTAACATAAGGTCATTCGTAATCGCGGATTTACATCGTGAGGAATTATCGCTTCGATGAAAATTAAACTTTTTTATGTAATAGATAAGGTCGATGGATTTTTTAAATACTGTTTGCAAGGACTCCAGTTTTTAAACAGATGGACTTAAACCACTTTTATAATTAGTAGAGTCATTTTATAAAAACAGAGGCAACGATTCTTTAACACATTAACTAACAGACTAATACTCAGGAAAGTTTCTTAGGAAATTCATCAATTCTATCTAGATTTATTTATTAGGGCCCGATTAGCTTGGAAAGATATTTGAGCTCTAAGCTTTATAATTTTTAAAAAAGAGTCATTTACTCCTACCCAGATTTATTTTCGTTAACTTCTTGAGGTTAGGTGGAGATAAGCACTGTTCAAGCTTATCCAGTTAATTTTTCTTAGCTTTTTATAGACGGTGGGATATTCCTTAACCCACTTCAAGAAATTTAAATTAATCATAGTCGTACAGTTTAATGCTTAACATTTTGTCCATCCAGTTGGGAACGCTATAAACTGACACTACAAATTTAGTAAGTGAAAATACATTGGTAAATTGTTATCACTGTTCTTCTGTCCAGCTTTTTATTTTTATTTGCAAATCATGTGACTCGAAGAGTTAACATACCACCTTCAAAATTAATATTGTTAATTCTTTACTGACAAGTCTTATCATCTATTTAATGGCGACGTAGCGACCGAGGTGTTAAAGCAACCAATCCATTTACAACAGTATATCTCCACTGCCTATGGCCATTAGTACCAGCTACCTCCCCCTTACAATTTCCATTCCACTTTGAACACGTTACATTGCACGGCAATCTCACGCAATAATCGAGATTGCAACAATCGAGGTTTCACCGTACTTCGAGC